CATCTTTGTGACCCTTAGGGCAGCACCATGATTTCTTTGCCAGCTGCTACAACTGAAAATCCTGCTGTACTGGTTATAACCAGCAAGGTGCTGGCAGCAGAGGGGCTGAAGGAGCAGCTCTGGGGGGAAAAGGCAGGGTTACCCTGCCACAAGCCCAGCTGGTACCAACAGAACCACAGCAGACACAGCTGAGCCACTCCACACAACTGACACCACCTCTGGGAAAGTGTGTTTAGAAAGGGCAGAAAATGCCACAGAACAAAATAAAAGAAAACAAAAGGAGTGAGAAACAGCAGAAAAACACAACATGAAGGTCAGAGAAGGAGTGGGACAGAGGTGCTCCACGGTGCCAGGGAGGAGCCAGCTGGAATGCCCTGAAGGAACTGGAGAGCCTGTTCCAAAGCAGGGTCGCTGTCAGGGGGAGCTCATCCAGAGCAGAGCAAAAACGTGAGAAGGAAGGAGAAGCAGAAAGAAAAGTCGTGTCTTGCACCACAACCCCTCTGCCCCCTGCACCACGTGGGGAGGGGCACAGGAGTGAGGTTCAGCCTGGGAAAGGTGAGAGGAAAAGGTGTAACTTTCACGTCTGTCTGTCTTAGTATCTGACTGTATTTTAACTGGCAATAAATGAAATTCAGTTCTCCAAATCAAGCCTGTTTTGCCCAGAACAGTAACTAGTTAAGTGATCTTCCTGTCTTTATCTGAAGCTCCAATCTTACTCTAGACCTTGCCCCTGCTCCTCTAAGGAAGGGGAGAGCCTGAGCAGCTGGGTGGGCATGTGCTGTTAGCCAAGGCTAACTCAGCACCCTGCACATGAGAGTTTTAACCCAATCTTTTAGCAGAATGCTGATGAAGCAAGAGCCCAGACCCAGATTTGTGTTACATGGCATGAATCTCATTACTGCTACTGAGTCCTGGCTCTGAAGTAGAGAAATACAATACAAACAGGCTAAGTGGTAACAAAATCTGAGTCAGGTTAAAAACCCTTTTTTCATCCATCTATCTATTTATCCATTGTGAAAAGCAATGCAAGTCACAGGCTTGACACAGAACACACATTTTCTGTGATCCAAATTGCGACTATTACATACAGAATAGCAATTCATCAATATTTCTCTTCTCTCTTTTACTTAAAGTTCAGCAAGTTCAGAAAACCTTTCAAATGCCATCAATCAGACAGAGAAATTTGTTCTAGGTTCATTTTTATGCATCCAAAATCCTACCTAAACTGTCATTTATATTTGATCCCCTGCCAGGTTTTATACACACGCTTCTATTAGGGAATAGATAGGGCCCATCAGCAGAACTAAACAGAATAAACAATACAATAATCAAGTCCACTCAAAACACTGCACTTCTCAAGTGCAGCATTTCATCAGAAGTACACACTATTGCCTTGTGTAGCCACACAGACCTTTGTCCTGGGAGCTGTCATTGCTGTTTCTTCCTGTATCTTATTTAGGCTGCAGCGTCAAGAGATGGGAATTTGCTAATGCAAAACAGCCCAAATAATAACTTGGACCATTAAACTTCTTATCAAGTTGTCTAATCCCAGTTCCAAAAAGGACCTGTAACTGAGTTCTAGTAAAATAAGTCTATTCTTTTGCAATAGTGCAAGATTGAAATAGAGAGATTCCCAAAGGATTCATTCCCATCTGTGTTCAAAGAGCAATAAACACTACTCCTAGCCATTTTGATATCCTCTGTTAAAATGCTCCAGCATTCAAGAATTAAAGTCAATTCCCTACACACCAATACAAGGTTAGAATAAAGATCCTCTTCCCTCTCCCCCATGCTTTTAAATTGTTCCTATGATTTAAATATTCCATATTGTTACACATTCAGCCAAAAACCAGATTTTTGCTATCCATTCCCAAGTCAAAACTGAACATCAGTACAAAAGATGCAGTAAAGTTCAGAGTACTGAACTTTAAAGTTAATTGCTTCAGATTAAGTAGCAACAGGGATATGCATCAGAGTGCCTTTCAGTTCATATCTCTTCACGGGTGGAACAGAGGCACTGCCTCTCCCTGGTAGTCTCAATAGCTGATAACCTTGGCCTGCAACCTGTTAGGTACAGCTGGATTTGGAACACAGACTTCCAGTTTTCCACACTCTCAACAGCAGGTGAAGACATTTCATTAAATAAATTACTCTCCTCCTGTGTTACTCCAATACAGAAGAGTCCCATATGATTAGTTAATTTCTTGTTTATGTTCTTAGGCAGGCTTGGAAGTCATGTACATGTACATCCTTCATGTGCTGTCAAAAAGTGATAAAATCTGCATGTGATACTTTCCCATGTTTTAAAGATCAGGAAATGCTTCAATAATTTGTATTTTGACTGGTACAGAATCTAGAAGATGCCTTCACAGGAAAACCACTGAAGTGTAAAGTTATGCAGATTGCATCATTTTCTCTTGATATGCTTCAGCTAGGTGAAACATACACAGGTTAAAGAAATTTAAGTCAAACTGTCAATAACATCTGCAGAGCTCTCCCTGCCTCTCTGAAGTACCTAAGTACATCTTGAAACTATGAAGATCGTGCTTCCCAACTAGGCAGCAAAACATATTTGCCTTTGCTTGAAGCAATCTCTAACTAGCTCATAGTGTATCACTCAATGATGCATGTCCTGAAACTAAACATACCTTCCATCTTTTCACTCATGTTTAGTTAGGATAACACCAGTGTCAGGAACACCACTCAGTTGCTTTAAGGCAAACATATATAAATTTATCTACTACCCATTTATTCTTAAATTCTTTTCTCTTCTTTGAGTCAGGCTTTCCCTCTTTTATAGAGCTGAATCATGCAGTTTTCTTCCCCATCTAAACGTGCAAAGCTATCACTGCTTCCGCAACAAACTTCCAATGATGTCAATGTTTTGCCTCATCCTCTCTGACAACTTATCACCTCTGAATTCACACAAGTTCTGTCTTAACAGACTTGACTGTTCTCTGAAAGTACCCCTACATCCACCTCAAGCGGATCAGTGAGCCCAGAGAGGCACACACTACCCCCATATTTTTTCTCACACAGAATTAAGGCATCCATGCCAAAGACAACTTCCCTGTATCTCCCTCGTTCATTGCATACTTCCATGCCTCAGAACGAAGGACTGCTTTTCACCTCCTTCAGTTAAACATATAGAAGTTTGGGACATAAGAATTAAGAGAACAAGCAAAATATTTATAGTTTCTACAATAAAATAAATAAAGCTGCACTGTATTGCTGAGGATTGCTATTAAGAGAAAGGACAGAAGCCTTCCCAGAACACGCTGTGCACAGACCCTCTGGCAGGCACAGGAGGCAGAAGGACATTTCGGGCTTTATGCACACTGTCAGCATGTGCGCCGGCAAACTGCAGGCTCGTGATATGCCCCGGGCTGCTCCGCGCCCCGGGCCGGGAGCGCACAGGGCC